TCTAAGGTGTTCCTCTTACACTTTCTTTTTTCTTCTAGCTATTCAAAGTAGAGCCTTTAGCAAAGGCTTATTTTTTATTCTTTATCTGCTTTTCAGCATGTTTCCTTTATTGTTGTAACTGACATTAAATTTATAGAAAATATCTTCCTATTCTTCTTTAATCAGAACTTTGCCAAGTCTTCCTTTAACCATATTTTTTTCTTTTCTTTCTAGTTGAATTGGAAATAAAACTACTTACTTCTTTTATCCCACTTTTATTCTTAGCCTCTTTCAACAGAAAGAATTCCCTATGGGTGTCCTTATTTCCTACTGCCTATTCAAATGTTGTGTCAGAGTTACAAATATTGAGGCTTACTCATGTTCAGTCTTTTTCTGTAAAATAACAGCTCGGGTTTTAACATCGTTCATTTCTATGTTTATATGATATTGCAGGAGTACATTACAGAACATGTAGCTATATTTTTCCAAACTTTCCATCCCATAAAATTGTGGAACCCTTGTCAGGTTGAAGATCGACTGCTAGACTTTATACCACTCTGATCCTCCTTATCATCACCTGAATGTTTTAAATTTTGAGAAGTACATAATCTTAAGACAATGATGGAATTCAGTGCTGCATTGACTATTAACTATGCCTTAGTAATTATATTCAAATTTGTCATAAACATTAAAATAGTACAAGCTGTTTGTAGTGCCATATGTTTAAAATCCTTTTCTTAAGCTAGTCATCTTAGCTATTCTTACTCTACAACAGCAAAGTGGGAGCAAATCTTCTGACTAATCAAATTGTCATCCTATTCTAAAGTACAGTTTCATTAAGCAATGTTTAAGTAAAGGATAAATACAGAGAACACACATTCTTGAATTCAGATGTATGATTGGGTGTATTGAACTAGGTGATAAGCACAAATACCATTCAAATACCTTACAAATGCATACTACAGTCACTTGCAGTGACACTTCACTAGAACCTCATAAGCACTTCAAGCTGTGATAAAGTTCTGCATCTGAAAGTGGAAAATAACAAAGGCACGAAAATTCAGTCTTTGCCCAGACAGCACAGTGTGACAAGAAAGTAATATTTGAAGGATGAAAGAACAATATTGGAGCCAGTTCTGTGGTAAAGAGAGGCAAAACCAGACCAAGCACAAAGATAAATCTTTTTTCCTCCAAAAATCACTTTATGATTAGGGTTATTTTTCAGTTGGACAGACACAAAGTTCATGACCTCCAGTTTAGGTTTTTTAATATATCATTTATTTATTTATTTATATTTTGCTTCCTATTTCAAATTGAAAAGAAATTCCACTTTAAAATGTTCTAATTCTTCTATTAATGCAAACATTCTAGCAAGTGCTTTAATCTTTTCGTAATGTGATGGTCCTTCTTTAATGGTTAAAGGCAGGAAAGCCTTTTTAATTTTCCGGATTAACCTTTTATTTAGCTGAGTCAATAAGCATTTTAACTGAGCTAAATCATTACATGGTATTTACAAAATCATTTCAGATTTCTGGAATGCCCTTCAGTCCCAGGAATCCATTCTTTACATGCTCCTACAGAGCCAAAAAAAATAGGGAATGATAGGTTTAAAGGACAAGTGTTGTGCATTTTAATGCTCTTGATTGTATTATACCAACTCAACCTAGTGAAAAGATTTTTCCGTATAGACTTTGTCACTTTCCTTCTCAATAATTTTCTGTTATGTTTTTAGCCTTACATGATAAACCTTGATGAATTTTCTGTATACAGGTTATCTGATTCATTATTATTAATTCTTATTGAACTCTCTTCAAAGAGAAGCAGCCGTCATATACTGCATGAAAACATCTTTATAATATTCTCTGCCAAATACCAGTATATGGCATTTGGTAGATAGGACGGCATCTCCAACTCCTTTCTGACTACATACAGTTCACTGAAAGGCTTTTGACAACTTTCTTGTTATTCAGACTCAGCTGCATCAGTTATGCCAAATTGTCTTTGCTACACATGCAGACACATTAATTTTCTCTTTCCTCCCTGAACCAGTACTCCAGCGTTCCACACAAATCCTGAAATTCCTTACATTTCATGAATGTCCCTATTCTCATTTCCTAGAACATCTTTATTATTGCTTTCCTAGGAGCTGAGTTCGGTCATCACTTGAAAATGAAGTTGTTATAAAATAGCTGTGTTGACAGATGGCATAAACAGCATAGCTAATCAAATCTGCTCCAATGTTTTAATGGAAACAGGGAATTATCACCATGCTACAAAATGCAATCAGTAAAGCGGGTGGTGCGCCGAAATGCCAGTTTCCAGAGTTCTAAATCAACAGTACAGCAATAATAGTTGCTGCTGCAGCTGACATCTCATGATATATGCCTCAAAGGAAGTTCACAAACAGGTTTGCCTGGAGCCTATCTCATTCCTGATAGAGCTGCTTTCTGATAATATTGTTTGGACTCACCGTGCATCAGTAGGAAATGTTAAATAAACAGTGCTCAGGGTTTAATGTAATGTTTTTTAAGAAAGAGTCATCTCAAGAGTGCCTCATATGTTTGAAAGAGCCATTCCAAGTCCTTACATGTTGCATTCAATCTTTGGTAGTTTGTTAATGCCTAGGAAAAAGAAATTAACCCCAGCAATGTTAGTCACCATCATAATTCAGTGGTTTGTAAGAAAATATTTAAGGACTGTAAATGAGTGCACCTGGGATACATTTTTATTCATTTAATCTTTGGAGCCTTAAATTGGAAACCACTTAGATACAAGATAAAATCTAGGATAAAAGTTTGTTAATCCTTACTAGCTCTAAGTACAGTTGGATTTGAAATGGACACAGAAGTTCCTAATGAAGTTCTTCAAACTTCAGAGAAAAGTAGAGGAGTCTAAAAAAAATGTGTTCTATTCATACCTGGAATGTCATGTCATCATTTCTTCTTGCTTAGTAAGATTTTCCTGGTTCTTTCAAACATTCACGGAGACAGAACACCACAGAAATGGAGAAGCAGCACTCAGCTCCCAGAATAGCACTGATTCACTCTTCATCAAGAAAACACTTTTTGCAGTGGCCTTTATTCATGGAATGTTTTGGGTTGGAAGGGAACTTTAAAGATTATCCAGTCCAGCCCCACTGACATGGGCAGGGGCATCTTGCACTGAATGCAAGGTTGCAAAAAGCACCATCCAAATGGACCTTGAACACTTCCAATGGGGCATTCACAACTTCTTTTGGTAACCTGTTCTAGTGATGCACCAGCATCACTGAAAAAAAATTTCTTCCTTATGTCCAATATAAATCTATTCTCTTTCAATTTAAAACCATTGCCCCTTGTTCTGTCACTACAGGCTTTAATAAAAGATATCTCTCTATCTTTTTTACAAGCCCTCTTTAAGTATTGAAAGTCTGCTATAAGGTTTTCCCAGAGACTTCTCGTCTCCAGGCTGAACAACCCCAATTCTCTCAGCCTGTCTTCATAAGAGAGCTGCTCCAGTCCTGTGATCATCTTTGTGGCCCTCTTCTGGACCTGCTCCAGCAGGTCCATGTCCTGCCTATACTGGGTGCCTCATGCATTGAGAAGGAGATCTCTATTTCTTTGGAACACATTTCTTGTTTGGACATCTTTCTTCATTACTGCTGTAGGTTTTTGGAGAAGTCAGTTGCTATAGAGTGTGTGATAATTGATACCTGTTAGCATTGGGGTACTTTTTTTGGTAATATTGTGAATGGTGGAATGTGGATCAGTGCAAGTATAACAAAAAATGAACATTTTCTCAAAAACTTTTCTCAAAGACATTATATATTGTCCTCAGAATAACCGTATGGGGAAGTGTCTTCACCCAAGCGTGTTGTTAACATTGTTTACATCTTCTTGTAACATCCTCTCCTACTGTAAAAATAATTCCACTGTTCCATTCTTCTAAATGCACTTGTTTACCTCGGTTGAAGTAGGGTAGTACTTGGCATGTCTTTTCATCTTTCAATTCTTTGAGCAAAAAATTACCTCTTAAATATAGCTAACCATAACAGTGGTCTTATTTCCTTGTCTAGTCTTATTAAATGACAGCAAGAAAGTTGTTTGTTGAACTATGGCATCACCTTGTCTCATAACAAAATACTACAGGAAATGAATGCAGGGAAAAAAAAAGCAAATCCTCCAAAATAAAAAAAAAACCTAACTGGGAAGAATCTTTTTTCAAAGTTGAACATGATTCTTTAGTTATTTGCTTGTCATTTTAATAATGCTTTCTGTTTGTGATGTTGTCTAGGAAAACCTAACTTTATAACTACTGATAACACCCTTGTGAGATGGGGATTGCCAAGGGAGTCATTATATTGAAGTGTTCCAAGTTTCTTAAAAATTTCTTTGTTACATATTGCAAATGAGAAAGAATATTGCAGACAGATTATTAAACCCACCTAATTTGATAAGAAATGTGCACACAATTTAATTTTTCTGCATCTAGTGAAGAGGTAGAAGCAGCTGTATGGTATTCTCTAATTGTTATGAAGAGTGTTGAGAGGAGCTGTGGGCATTGATCACACTGGTATATGTGTATTTTGATGTCTCAGATCACTTTGACTGAAAAAACAGTGACTGGTTCACTGCATCCTTTGTGGGATTAATTTTTCCTGACAAATTCTGGACAAAAAATAATTAAACCAATTTACATCCCTATGGTTGACATCAAACTTAAAAATGCTATGGGTCAGTGCAGTCTTAAGAATAATTAACCAGTGGAAGGGAGACACTCCTATTTAAAAGCTATAGATAGATTGAAAAACTTAAAGTAAAACCTCATTCATTGAAGTACCTTTCAAAGTGGATTAAAGGAGTGACTCAGTGTAACAAACAGTATCTTGAATAAAAGTGATACGACATAAATCATATGAATTTTAAATCACATCATTTACTTATTCTTTCTGTCACTCTCTTCTGTTCCTCTCCCTTCCTTTCTTATTCTTATTTTCCTCCGATTTCCATCGGAACAACTTCTATGTATTTCATCATTTAAAGATGCTCCAGTGGATTTGACCGTCACCGGCAAGATTGGGTAGACAGTGGCTGCCCTGAAGAGGTATGTGAGTAGTTTACATCCTCAGCCCATCAGAGGAAACTTATATAGATATGATGCTTTTGATTAAATTCTTCAGATTATGAAGCATGGTTTCAAGGCCAAAGACATTCTATAATTATCTTTATTATTCAGGGGAAATGCTATAATACATAATAAAGAAGAATAGGCTGAGTAATTTCACTCTCCATTTGGTAGAATAAAATGGATATAAATTGAATTTTTATCCTTGAGAAAATATTTTAAATAATTTTTAAAAATTAAATTAACAACAAAAACAACAAAACAAACCAAACAAAAAAAAGGGAGAAAAAAAAAGCCTGCTCCAAAACAGTGTCCCTGTGCTGATTTTCCATTAGATCTCTGAATTTGCTGGGAAAGGGGAAGAAACTGTGATGTTCCTCACCTCAAAAAACTAGAGTAATTTTGAGTGCAAAACTGGCATTGTATTTTGATTATGAAATCTGGTCAAATCATTTAGTGCAGAAGACATTACACAGATGAATTCAGAGATAAAATAAAAATTTTAAAAAAATTTAAAAAGCCCTCACATAACCAACCTACAGGGCATTTGGATTTCCTTTCATGGGGAGGCAGTGAGAGGATGAGAAAGACACCTGATTGTGGTAGTGGCAGGCTGTCAAACAGGGACTATAAACCTCCTCTGAAAGTTATTTGGGGTACTTCTAAACCAGAGCAGTTCATTTTCAAGGCACATATATAAATATGCTGCTGGTGTTTCTTTTCCAGTGTCCTCCCTTTATAAGGACGTTTAGTTTGGGAGTTGGTTTGGGGTTTTTTTCATTTTTCTTATTTCTCATTTGGGGACTGTGGTAATAGGAACAAATTAATTTGTGACACTTTTAATGTCCTGATGGCCATAAAAAAAGAGCAGTTATTTTTCAATTTTTGCTGAAGGGGCTAAATTTTCTCATGAGTTTCAGCAACATATGCCTTCTGAAGTGTAATGTCAGGTGAAACTCAGGGAAAAACAAAGCCCAAAGTGTCTAGTTAGAAAAGCACATTCTGTTTTATTCTCAGTAGAAGCAAAGAGAAGTGATGGCATAAATCCAGACTAATGCAAGAATTATTTTTTTTCTTATAACTGTAATTGCAAAATAACTGCATCCTACTTGCTGCCTTGTTACATAGCCTTGAAGCTTCAGCTTTGCAGTTTGTAATCTGCTGATTCAAGAACAAAATTTCTGTGAAGAGTAACCTCTTCAAGAACATAAGACAAAAGTTAGTGGGAGTGTGTGTTATTATAGTACATGACCTTTGTATGGCTTTAATCCAATTATAATTAACTAGGACTCAGTTGTGCTTGTAAATGAAGTTACCCAAAAAATGCTTTCTGCGGGACAGTAGCATCCCATTCTGCTTTTCCTTTCTCGTTTCAGTCCAGCTAGTGCTCCAAGGTTCAGTACAAGATCTGAGAGGAAATTATCAATACACTTCGTGTATCTGAGAAACTAATAAGTTAATTTGCAAAATTTCGGTCTATTTGATTGCAGTTCACTGTCCAGCTTTCAGGCTCTGGAGTAGAAGCAACAGCTTACTTAGCATCTTCAGAATTACACCTGAGCTGACTGCTAGAGTTCAATGACAGATCAATAATTAACATACAATGGTTAATTTTAGATGCCTTCACTAAAGAGGATGAATAGCGGGGATTCTCATAACAGGGTTTCTTTATTTGTAATATATATTTTGAGCTAAATTTTTATTTAATTGCATCAGTGAAATTACCAGTAGTTTTCAAGAAAAAACACAAAGAAATTTGAAGAATAGTTATCCTGCAGGCACTGATACCTTTCTTTAATGTAGTATATTGTTTTTGGTAAAACAAAGGATAATAAAGTACCTGTGCATATTAAAAGAAAGACAGGGCCCACTGGGTTTTGACAGTCAGATCTCAATAAAATGAACAGGCTTTGCAGGATGCTACTTCTTATGAAAATGAATGAGGACAGCAGGAGTTAAGTGCAGTTCCCGTATTTGCTGCAGGTTAATTGGGTGTATTTTCCTGCAAAACTGTGTGATCCATAAAAGGAATTATTCATTACATCTGCAGAATTTTAAAAATGTCCAGAAATTTAAAAAAAAAACACAAAAAAAAAAAAACAAAAAAAAAAAAAAAAAAAAAAAAAAAAAAAAAAAAAAAAAAAAACAGACTCAAGATTTGTATCAAAACATTTGCTCATGAAAATAAGTTAAATTATTAGATGATGATGACTATTATTTATAGTGTGCTAATATATTACAATAATTTTCTTCATTATTATTTATTATAGTTTATATTTAGAATATATTTTGTATAATAATTATTATAGATACAAATAATACATGATATTTTAATATTATGTAGAATTAATAGCCATATAGTGAATGTTTTGCTCTTTTGTAGTAAATAAATATCTATAGGCTGAATACATGCGCACATTTTACACATATATGTGTGTTCTTCTGTGATAACTCCATGCAAAGCCAAATTAAATGCTCCACTTAACTACACATTGTCCACTATGAAGAGTTACAGTTTAATTCCCACATATCCTTTTCAACATATGTTATGGCACCTGTATTGATGGCAGTGAGCTTTCATTATAGAAGAGTAAAAATATGAATTATAATCTTATATGTTAAAATAATAACATGCTTGACAATTTGGGAAGACTTTGAAGCCTTGTCATTAACAATTGAGAGTTGTAAATTTCACAGATAAATGAAAAAAAAAAACATGTTACTGGATGCAGTGTAGAGTACTTCAAAGGAAAAAAAAAAAAAAGAAAATTAAAAGATAAAGCTCTTGAAATTTCTTGATTTAGGGTTTCTATTATAATTCATTTTATTCCAGCAGTTTGTCCATGCTTAAATTCTTCATTCAGTGGCAGTCTCCACTTTAATTTTCTCTTCTTTGTTTCTGTTGTTTCCCCACAGGCAAAAGATAAGATCTGTGAGAAGAATATAGACACAACTGAAACACCTCCATACTCCACCACCACCCTTCTGCCAACCACCACAAGGTTCAGAGTTTTAACAACCACCAGAGGATCCACCACTTCCCACCTTCCAACTAGCCTGCCCACAGAAGGTGGCGTGTATACAATGCATTATTCTATAGTGCAAACAAGTCATTTAGAAGTCAAAAAGAAATTTATTTCCTTTAAATATGTGTGTTCGTGTTGACCTTTTTTCCCTGAGGCAGCAGAAGGAGCTGGAAATTGCAGTCAAGGCGATATCTGCTACAGGTTTTAATTTGCAACTCACTCTTGCAATAGTAAGGTGCAAGGGGATGAGGGCTGGAGGAGGGGATGATGCTGGAGAAGCAAAGGCAAGTCAGGCAGACTTCTGGAAAACCTGAGATTACAATGAGTTTTTCATATTCCTTTACCATCAAACCATAGTCCAAACCTGCTGAAATAGCAGTAGTAGAGAGTCCTATTAAAGTTAGTGAAGCAACTCCCTCTACAGACTTAATGGATTTTTAATTTCTTTAGGTATTCTATTTAGCCAAGTGAAAATTATAGATAATCCAAATTAAAAATGTCTTTGAAATATGCCTGTTTGCTTTTTTCAGTCAGTTGACACTGTTTTTTTCATGTAGTGCTCACTGTTATTGTTGTGAAATAGTTTCTCTAGGCTTCTGAACAGAATTAACTGGGTAAGCGATGGTGTGTCAGTTCTCATCCTTGTTCCACTGGCTACTTAAATCTTGCCTTTCTGGGTTTGGGATATTCTACTTTCCTGCTTTGGGAGAAAATTCAACTGGGCAGGAAAGTTAGATCAGATCAATCAAAGAACATCTATAAAGTGTGTTTGCATCTGTCTGTTGGCATTGTATGTTAACAGAAGAAAAGGTACTAAGTACAGGCAAATTTTCCTAGTGGCCTCTGACAGGAAAATTTGAGCTGAAGGCATTTCAAAGTGGGAATCTACTGATAGGAAAGTCTGGTTTTGTTTGCACCAATAAAAGTTTAGAAACTGTCGGTACAGCGTTTGGACTGCATTAAAAGGAATATTCCCTGGCATTTTGTTCTTTAAAATTCACAAGAAGAAGAGGAATATGGAAATAAATATGATTTAATATTGGTAGACTTTTTCATGATTCTTAGAAGAGGAACTAAGTTATTGTCTTACTTTATTATCATATGTTGGGTCATATAATCCTTAATATGACAGAATGCTCAAGATATGTATGAACATGTAACATAAATGAATTATTTGTAAACATTATGAGACAGACTCTAGTACCCTTATTTACCAATATTTTGAATCCTCCTGTACACTCTCATAAATGATTTTTTTAGTGGCAAGGAGGTGAGGTAATGCTCAGTGTAAGAAACACCATAATCAAATTCTCATTGAGTTGAGTACCAAATAATTTTCTAGCTGTGGAATTTGACATTAGAAACTGATTCCTAAAATGACTCATGACCTAGAAAAATGCATTTTCCTTCAACTAACTCTGAATTTCCTTTATAGATGACACCAAGATTGCACTGCACCTAAAAGATAATGGAGGTAAGAGATTTATTTTTTCTGTAAGTAGTGGCAGTAATTTGTCAAATTATACCCCACTGAACTTCACTAATCAAAATCAGATTGTAGAAATAGTTTTTCACCAGATTCCCACAGGACTTTAGCCTTCCACATCTGTGTGGAAGAGAAGGAAGGCAAATAAGCTTCAAAACTGCTTAGGAAAATTAAATATTTACAACTCTGTTTATAATTCTATAAAAAAACCAGCAGGTTTAGTTAACTTCCATGTATGGACATATTAAGTAAATTTTTAACTGTACTAATACAGTTATTGGTTATATACTCTGCAGGGGACAGCTTTTGTCATCTTCTTTTTGGTTCAAGGACTGAGACCTGAGGTTTGTTCCTTCTCGCTTTAAAGTGGATGAGAATTTCTCTTCCCTTATTAGTTAGAACAGGACTGGATTGTGAACATAGACCTGTGTCTCTGTTCACTGCCAATCTAGAACTTGCTGAGGTGAAAGAGAAGATTTGGCTTGATTTCTGCAGCCTTCAGAATGGTCTATCAAACCAGAGGATGATTTTTTCAGCAAATTGAAATAAATTATATTTCCACTGATATAAAGGGGAATATTATTGGCTCTGATTGCCTTTCCAAGCAGGCAGCACCCAGCTTCTCTCATGGGTCAGGGGAACAGGCAGCCAAGCATAGCAGCAGGCACAGGCAGGGCGCAGGGTCAGTCCAGCAGCTCAGGGGAAGCAACTGTGGTGAACCCTGTGATGGTCTAGTCACCCTCAACTGAGTCTGCAGAAACAGTGCCGACCCAGGGTCAAGGTAGGAAACCAGGTTGGCAAGGCAATGAAGGAGCAGCAAGGTAGCAGGCCAGGGACAGCAACCAACAGCACAGCTCAGGCAAGACCCATCAGCAGTCCCAGAGGAAGTGAGGTGATGAACCAGGTCCATATAGAGATTCTGGTCAGTAGCAAAAGGAAAGACAGCTCCAAGGTCCATCCACGGAGACATGGCCCATGGGCAGGACTGGAGACAAGCTACCTTCAGCATTGGTCCAGGAGACAAGATCAAAGATGGGACTGAATACAGGCTCATCTACAATGTAGCTTAAGTTTGGACCTGAGCTTACATGGAGATGCCAGTATCATGGGCAGACGTCCCAGGTGCAGCAGTCCTGAAAGGTGGTGTGTAGTGGTTTCTCAGGACCCTCACAGAGGATTATTCAAGTTTTGAAAAAAAAGAGTGCAGAGGCAACTTGGCAAGTTGGTCTGTTTTCCTTTTGGTATTTTTCAGTCATATTCAGCCATTGTTTTCTCCTTCCCTCAAATTAGAGATCTTTTCACTCCACAGGAGGTAGTTGTCATCCACTTCCTTACCACTTTGCTGTCACTAACTACAGGTTAGCAGTCACATAATAGTTGGTCACATGCTGTACTGGGCATTGAATTGTCGATTTGTTGGTGGTGTTGCTGTTTGACATTGCTTTGACACATAAGTGATCCCTTGCAATAAGGTGATCTGTAAGTTCAGGGTAGTACTTTTAGGCATTTTCTCTATAGGAATGTCCCTGAACATTCTGTCTCTTATTCTTCTGGAAATGAAATTGATTATTATTTTGTTGTGAAAAGTGTTTCAGTATTCTTAAAGGTCAATAGTCAGCACTTCACTCGCCTGTTCTGCTCTGTACAGGAGGCATATTCTCAGCTGAACTGTGCCCACGCTCTGCCCCATGAGCCAATGCCCTATGGCAGGTGCGAACCTGGGACTAGGCAACTCTCCATCATATGCATCTCAAACACAGCTCAAAATAGTATGCTGTTATATAAAAAACAATTTAAAAATTAGGGTTTATAAAACACATCCAAGTTTCTTTCAGTTTGGGAATTGCAACAGGATTATTTTTTGACATGTCTACTCTTTGCCCAAGATCTGAAAAGAAAAACTCCGTAAAAGTAAACAAAATGTGGAATACTAGAGAAAGTGATAGATGGCTGTGGCCTACTTGGTAGAGTGAGATGTAGGGTTTGTAGTATTAGTTATCTTAAATATAGAACATTCATGTCCACTGAGAAAGCTGCTACATTTTAGGAGGACAAACCAACACCTGATGTGATTATTCATTTTCCTTGAGCTGCTTCTTTTATTCTTGAAATTTAAAAAAAATGAAAATTACTTCAAACAACACAAAAGCAAAGCAACACTCCAGGATTTCTCATTCACACAGTAAACGTAGCTTTTAATCTGAGAAGTTCTTTTTGATGAATCTTCAATTATGCATTGAATTTTCCAGTGACCCCTAGATTAGACTCAGATAAAACCTCTGCAGCCGCAGGCACATTCTTTGATTCTCTATACTTTGTTAGCCTTTCATAAAGAGTAGATTATTCCAGGTCACGAATACAGGGTCTTTACTTTCTCACACTAAATCCTTTAAAACTCTAATGAAAGGGAACCTTTTAAAATAGAAAACCAAAGCTATATTGGATCAATGATTGCCTATAGTTTGATGTGTCCTTGGGTGATAGCAGTCAATATCTAGTGAGGCACAACAAAAGGATTCCATAGAAATTCTGCATCTCACCTCTGCCTGGAACTTTTGAAACCAAATATTATAAATCAATAACTAAATTTAAATTAAGTTTTGTGTTCTGGTCATACTGATTTGATCTTTCAATTATGTGAGAAAATCAATTGCAACTGTCCTGTTATTCACCCACAATCTTTTGTGGCATATCTTAACGAACATTTCAAATTTGTGTGTTTCTCTTTCTTTACAGGCAGGACAGATGCCTATTGCATACATGCCTAAACCATTTTAAAATACTGCTGGCATGCCATCACAATTTTTGTTGTATCTTGGTTGTCCTTAAAATAAAATGCCTTTTATAAGTTTTAAGATATATCCAGCACTAAAAAAGTACATTTTTTTATTAATTGCAGATTCTATTTTTTTTAATTTTTCTTGAAATACAACACAGCCAACTAAACAGTTTAAAAGCCTAATTTTTCATAAAAATTGTGAGCAATTGGTTGTGGCTAGCCAGTAATGTAGTATTTTCTTCTTGAGAACTCTTTGGTGGATGATTTAGATGATTGGCCGGAACATCTAGACATTTTATTTGACCTTTTTAGACAATTTGTTGTGATGATTTGATTGCAATGAGTCCCTCGCAGTCCTTCAGCTTTAAAACTCAAAAGAAAAGTCTTTGTCTCTTGGGCAGCAGGTGTCGGAAAAAATGCTACACTTCTCATTCATCAAAATGTACAGAAATGACTGTTTCAAAAAAAGGAAAACTGTGCAAAAAAAAAAAACCTACCTGAGGGAGAAAGCTATTTTATTTATTTGTGAACAAGTTCATCCCAATAGTAGTGCTAGGAAATGCCTGTGTCCTGCTACTTTCACTCTCTTGCGGACATTTTCAAAGATGGTCTAGATCCTAACATCAGTGATGGACAGGATTAACATTAATGCTATAGAGAGTTCAATTTGAGCTTGAGGGATTAGGAAACTCAATAACAAATGACTAATATGCAGACCCAAGCCAGATATAAAATGATATATGGTATCTACTCTTACAGTTGCCGGGATTTTGCTGTAAAGGCACACAGCTGATTTTGTTAAACATATTAATTTTGTGGACTTTGTACAAGCTCAAGGCTTAATATGAAAACCCCATGTAGCTCTAAATGCAGATGTTAAGGAGAGCTACATGTAAATAATTGGATAAACTTTTAATGCAAGGCTGCATTACTTAATGTTTTATCTTATCATCTTATCACCTGCTCCTGTTGGTGTCACAGTGCTACAACAGTGTGACAGTTAGGGCACACAAAACTCTTGTGATCTTCTCTTTTTTTAACTGCCTATTCCACATACTGTTAACCCAGTATTTGCTGCCAGAAACCTCTTGCAATCTCCTCTGCACTGCTTACTCATCTTTGACATCAGTGTGCAGGGGTAACTGTGAAGGTCCAGTGAAAGAAGGCTAATAAGAGCTGGACGTTTTGCACTGAAGTACCTGAAGTTGTTCTGTCTCCAAAAGGTGTGGTGGGCACAGGGGTGTGTAACTCTGCAAACATTAGACGCAGCTTTAGAGAGGAACTGCCTGCTTGATGTTATTGTTTTGTGTTTGCTTGCAGTACGGTCAAGTGGAGTCAATGGACTGACTGAATCTAAATTCTTAAAATCTGGTAACTTTTTGCTTATCTGGATTTGAGTCAGCTACCTTTCCAGGCCAAACAGTGCAGTCCTCCATGGTACAATATTGAGCTACATAATGACCCCTTCTTGATGCTACTAAGTATTGTAATGGCTTCCATGGCCTCAAGCAATTCAAAATAAAACTAATACAGATGAAAACAGTTGTAGCATTATATCATATTTTAGAGAAGAAGAATGAAAACCCTTACCTAACACATTTAGAGTGCTGTCATCCTATGAACAGAGGGATTTGATATTAATGTGCTTTCATCAATTTACTACACTAAGAAGTTGATCAATCTTGGAGAGACTTACTGAGTTGCCCTGGGTCCTGCAAAATATTGATAGCACAGCCAGATACTGAATTCAGAATTTGTGGGTTACAGTTCCTAATATTCTCACTCAAAGACCACCTTTCACTTTTTACATGCAACTGGAAATCAATTTTTAAAGCATTAGCTAAGCCATAACTGAATAAATCATCATGAAATTACGTGAAGTGTAACAGTGGTTTAACCTCCGAATGTTAACAAATGCTAAGGTAATGAATCCACAATTCAGGAAAATCACACACCGTTACTGTGAAGAAGTTGAGAACCCCAGAGCATGCTATTCTTAAAAGAGGTAGAGAGAAAATTTTTATGGATATTCCTCTGAGCCTCCTTCCAAGTGTACTTCCGTTATTCCTTCCCTGCACTCCTTCCCTTATTCCCTCCCACAGTTACTATATGTAGGTCATTAATCATCTTTTCAGAAATCTGCATTATGTACAAGAAAAAGCTTAGGTTTGGAGAACGATATACCTGCTCCATAAAACAAGAAGCCTCC